GGGGGGGGATCTGTGCCGGTGTTCTAACATTTCATCCTACCTATCGAAACATCCCACCACAGGGTACTGCGCATGCGCACCAGGAAATCATGCCCCTCTTCTCAAGCTTGATGAACCATCCATCGATCTCTTACCTCAGGGCCTCAGATTTATAGCTGAGTCTTGCATAATTAATCTTATTTGTGTATTTTCAACGTTCACACATTTGAAATATTTGATTAAATACATTTATGACACTTTACTATCAGTATCGCACTGATTTACTATCAATATTTTCCTGACATGAGTTCTGCAGGCTATATGATGTATCAGTATTGCTCACATATTTATGCCAGCGCATCATTATAAAGTATCTTAGTCTACTGAAATTGGCTGCCCAAGTATTTCTTAAAGGTAGGACGCTCTGATTAAGTATTTCGGTCTATCTTGATGTGCTGCCTGAAGTTTTAACACTGGTAATATAATTTGAGAAGGTATTTCAATCTGTTTCGATGCCTACTTATATTACATTAGTTAGTGCTTTTTAATTAGGTAGTATTATTTTTTTTTTGTTTATTTTTTTTGACTATCCGCTTTCAGTGTCAGCCCATGAAAATGACGATAGCATTTTTTGGTAGGGTAACGTTTTATCTGTCAAAACGCATAGGTCAACTCAACAAGATAGGACAAATTGATAGAACACCGGCAATCAGAAGGTTGTCAGTTTGAATCCCATGAATGCCCGGAGTGATTCTACTCCATTGGGCCCTTGAGCGAGGCCCTTAACCTGCAGTTGCTTCATCCTGGGTATGACGTTAATCTACATCCAGCCCTGCAAGCAGGTCCTGCCACTTACAGGGAAAACTTGGGGGTTGGTGGCAGGTTTGGGACTCACAGTGTTCCATTCCACTCAAACTAGCTTGGTGCTGAGGTATCACTCACCACATGGTTGTACTCGGCTTCTCAATCCTGAGGTGGTTTGTCGTGTGGTGGGTGTGGCAATGCGCTGTATCAGCATGTGCTCCTTACCTGGAGCTAAGCCCTCATATCAGTAGCAGCTGATCCTGCTGTAGCTATGGCTGCCGTTGTTTGCTTCAGCTTTGCGTCATGCCGGCTGCCATCCCCTAGCTGCGCGTAAATTCCCAGCATGCCGTAGCTTGCCGCGCTGTCATGCCGGCCAGGGCTGTGCTGCTGCACCATCTGCTGGCTTAACTCCATTTCATGGCTTTGGCTGTTCGTCTGTTGAGTTTGCTCAAAGAGATGATCCCTGGCAGAACTGTAGCTGGTGATGTTGCCTGTTCATTCCAGACTGTGAAAGAGGAACAGAGTGAGGTTTCTCTCGGTGAACCGTAATAAAAAACAATGCTGAAAAACAGAATGTAAAGCAAGCTCCCCTGGGTGTAAATGCTGATGCTGGATGTGGCCTTAGCTGTGGGCACTAAGTGCACGTTAGCTTTTGGGCAGCCGATTCCCCCGTCTGGCATCACCAGATTCAAGAACTTTCTTGGCCAGATGC